GGACAAATTAACGTATAGATCTTGAGAGCAAGTATCTACTTTATTCCTCAGGCTATGTCTATACCACAGTCAATGTACTGTATATAAACCTACCTATGCTAGTGTTACACCAGCTAACATGGAAACTGGTAGCAATCTAAGTACATCAGCATAGAGCTCAGCATGGATATATATTTCCATGTATATATGGATCCAGATTTTTATATTCCTGCATGGGTTAAGTTTTGCATCCCACACTGAGCTTTGTGCTGCTGTGGCTAGACAGCTCCCAATACCCAAGCTAGGTGGTTTAAAGCTACCTTGCAGTCACAGGAGTGTAAACATAGTCACAGTGTAACCTGAGCCAATATGAGTATAAACAGCTTCATGGGATGTTCTGTGTGCATACCTGTCAATAGCAATTGTTACTTAAGACCATTGGTTCAGATTATCTGAGTTTCTGCAGTGGAGGAAGATCTAATCCAGAACAAAGCTGACAGAGCAGGCACAAACTGTAAAGTTAAGGATCCACCTATAGAACCAGAGAGACCAGGGAGATCAAAGGCAAGTTGAAACCTTGAACCATATCCTCCTGCTTCCTCTTTATAGCACCTGTTCTATAGCACCTGTTAATTGCATCTTGTTTGCAATTAAACTATAAGCTTTTTAGGACTGGGAAGAGGCTTGGCCACAGCCTTGAGTGGTAAAGCATCCAGTACTCTGAGTGCTCTGAATAATAATAGCACATCAGCTACTATAACGCTTCTATAACAGTCATTTTAAAGTGGTTGATAGAAAAGAAAAATAAGGATTCCACTTTCCAAATCCATTTGAAATACAGTGGACATAGGGAGGCTTTGGAGGAATGGAGCAAAAACATGGAAAACACTCTATTTAGCTGAAAAGAAGGGGCTGACCTGCCTAAACCAACATGGTTGGAATATGACTCACCCCACTATGCTAATGTCTAGTTTACAAATGGAATCATTGGCCTATGATTCTAAGCTGGGAAATGGGAAAGCTGGTGTTAATTATTCAAGATACAATATAGGGACAGTTTTCAAAGAGCTCAGCATGCACTTCTGATGCTGGCTTTTCAGAAGAGTTTGACATCGTAGGTGTTGGGTATATTTGATAAGCTGGCCCTTACTGACATGCCTCCATGGAAGCTGTTGTCTTTGAAAAACCAGTATGAATGATCAAGGGTGAGTTAGTGCTTTGGGTCTCTACATGAATGCAGGGCATTGTCCTGGTCCTGTTAAAGTCATAGGAAATTTGGCATTGACTTTGGTGACACATAGGACTGGTATTTGTACATGGCTGTAGCAATTTAAAAAGAAAAGTAGCCCTTAGTGTTTGCTTAGCATACATCCTCGTGGCAGGAGTGGCTGAGGCTGGAAAGTAACAGGTTTCAGATACCTGGAATCACAATAGCCTGGTTTCCTTCAGGAGAGGTTATGTGCTGTACTGAACATATTGCTTGAAAGCTGCTTTCAGACCTGCAAAAAGAGAGAGTTGTGTTATTTTCACCCAGTGCATTGTGGTGTATGTGTAAAGGTGATGTGAGGCTTTATATTGATGCATAAACACCCAGTGAGAGCTTCACCCAGGAGGTGGAGCTGCCAGGACCTTTGAAACACTAGGGGCACATCTACACCTCCATGGTGTTGTTACCAGGAAGGCTGCTTTGTAGCATGCCCTGCCCACTCACTCCTGCTGCCCATGTCTCCAGTTCTGGAAATGAGGCAACAGAGCTGTGTTTAGAGTGGTGCTAATGGTGGGCCACTCAACACACTTAGGACATAGCCTCATTGCCAGGATTTGGCACAGATGGTGTGGGAACTAGTGGGTGGGGTTCCCTTCACAATGGTTCATCCAGGCACAGCACAGAGGTGACAGAGCCATGGCCTGAAGGCTCATCTTGCAAACATGCCTTTAGGCTGCAATTCACCCATTGGCAGAAGACCAATACTAGGCCCACTGGTGGGCAGCCTTAAGCTGGGCACCTGTGCCCAAGGCAGGCTGTGACGCACCAGAGTTAGGCTCCATGTTAACTGTGCACATGCTGGCAAAATCGAAGGTGTTCTTTAGAATTTATATGCTAGGAAGCTGTTCACTCACTGGAGCAGGAATTGCAGAAGGGCTGTAGTAAAGTCTCACGGCCTTTCCTAAGGAGCGTGGGATGAATTTTGGCCCCCTCCAACACCCCTGTTAGTTTCTTCCCACTGACCCCATTTACTTAGGATTTATGCAGATGCTAGCAAGAGTGAATTTCACCTTTAGGGATGTTATTTTTTAAAAGCAGCAGGAGCTCTGTAGAGACCAAATTTACCCTTCTGTGTCAATGTAACAGGAAAATGGCTGTGCTAATTTTAAACTGACTTGGAATCAGCATATGAGAAAGTGACCAGAATTCTTCCTATTAGGCTGAGCCACATCATTTCTGCGCAGTGCATCATTTCAAAGAAAATGCCTTACAGCTGGGTGAATAGCAAAGAAAATTATCCAGTAGTAGTTCAGCAGTTTCTAAATAGGATTTTCTTTGACCCTGTTTGTAAGAAGTGAATCAGAAGGGGTGGGAACTAGAGCTGGTGGGCAATTTTTTGCCTAAATCATTGTGTGTTAGAAAATGCTGATTTATTGAAACCTATTTTTTATTATCAATTTTGGCAACATATCAGTTTTGGTGAAACTTTCACGGGAAGATCTCTCCCATTCAGGCTGGGATTTTTGGCATGGCAACAGGGCCACAAGAGGGACCCATCTCAGAATACCCAATAGTCCACTGGGAAACGTGTTCATCTCACAATGGGATATGGGGCCCATTGAGAACCACCACACAAACAAACTCTAATCCCTGGAAGGTGAATTCTGAGATAGAAGGAGAGAGTTATTCAAATAGAAAAGTAGCATATGAGGCAGTAGTAGTCAAGAACATAAGAACAGCCATTTACTGGGTCAGATCATAGGTCCATCTTGCCTAGTATCCTGTCACACTGTAGAGGCCCATGTTGTGGACTAGTGACCAGTGTGCTGACCTACTGTGTGAAAGGTTGTGAATTTAAGTTTGGTTGTGGGTACCTGATCTTCAGTCTGGAATAGTCCTGTCACGGTGGCAGAGTGGAGGCTTAGAGGGAGAGTTAATTGGGTCTGAGCAGGTTCCACTGTCCCTCTCTGTTGTAGCTTCCAGCATTTATAGTTTAGGACAGCGGTTCCCAAACTCTGACAGATTGCGCACCACCAAGTAAAAATGATACAACCTTAAGTACCACCAGCAAATTTTTGTCATATAAAGTAATTATAATAAATCTGTTAACATGTACCACTGACAGGTTGTGTGTATACCATTGGTGGTATACTCATACCACAGATTGGGAACCGCTGCTTTAGGAGGTTCTAATTCAGAGGTGGTATCCCTACCTCCTGTGCTCAACAGCTGCTGATGCCCTTTTCCCCAAGAATTTGTCCAGTCCCTTCTGAGTCTGCCTAGACTGTCAGCTTCCCCAACGTCTGGTGACAATGAATTCTACACTTCAATGACATTTTGTGTGAAGAAACAACTTCCTGTTGTTAGCTTTAAACTTACTACTTACCTGTTTCATTTTGACCCCTAGTTCTTGTATTGGGAGAGAGTAAATTATAGATTCCTATTGACTTTCTCTTTTCTGTTGAGTATTTTGTAAACCCTTATCATGGCTCCCCTCAAGTGCCTCTTTCCTAAACTGAATAAGCTTAGCTTCTTTAGTCTCTCCTCATATGGCAGCCCTTCCATACCACTGATCATCCTTGTTGCTGTTCTCTAGCTCTTCTACACCTTTTGAGATGTGGGGACAAGAACTGGGCACTGTGTTCAAGGTGTGGATGCACCACTGATTTATAAAGGGGCATGATGATACTTTCCATTTAGTTTACAATTCCCTCATTAATTATCCCTAACATTTTGTTTGCATTTCTGACACATGGAGCTGATATGTTCTTATCCACCTGCCCATGATGACCCCCAAATCCCTTTTCTGCGTGGTAGCAGCTAATGTAGCTTATCAAGGTTAGATGGTCCAACCCAGAGGGCAGTGGAGATCAGCAGCAATGCCATGTGCCCTGGGTGACTACCGAGGTGGCAAACCCTTGAAGGACTCCTCTGGGTTCACCAGAAATTCGGAGCCTGCTGCTCATCTGCAAAAAAACACACTTGTTGGGTGGCTGTTTGAACTTGTGACAAACAGCCAGCTGGTCCCCAGGCCCATTGGGAAGGGGAACTAGTGAAGGCCCCAATGCAGTCAGGCGGTTTAAGCACTCAAATGGAGTTGAGGGTGAGATTGGGGCCTCCATCCCCCTTCTCCTTGGCAACACGGCTTCCCCCAGCTCTAGTCAGGACCCTCAGGGGCCCGGCTTGGCTCCCCTGACCTGCCAGCTTCTTGGCAACGTCCCCTTTGGAGCTGGCGAGGTTTGGCACTGTCAAGGGCCCGCTCCACGATGTCCACTTTGCCCCGGGCCCGGAAGACCCGTGGGGCCGCCGGTATTTCGCGCGGGAATGAAAGCGAGGATGACGGTGAAGGCGGCGGGGCTCAGCCGAAGGGGCTGGGGAGCGGCGCGGCGCGGCGGGGGTCCCGTCGCGCTGAGCCCACCCCTCGGGCGGGCGG